TCAAAATCCCCATGACATTTTTCACAGAATTGGAAAAAAAACTATCCTAATATTCATATGGAAGGACAAAAGACCTCGGATAGCCAAAACAACCCTGAGCACTAAGAGCAATGCTAAGGGGATTACTAACCAGATTGTCAGCTGTATTACAGAGCTATAGCCATAAAAACAACACGGTACTGGCACAAAAATAGACCCATAGATCAATGGAACAAATTGAAGACCCAAATATGAGTAAATGCAATTTCAGCCACCTGATATTTGACAAAGGGGCCAAGAACATTCACTGGAGGAAAGACAGCATGTTCAGCAAATGGTGCTGGCAAAACTGCATCAATGAATGAAACTAAACCCCTATCTTTCACCTTGCACAAAAGTCAATTCCAAGTAGATCTAAGACGTCAAAGTAAAGCCTGAAACTCTGAAACTGTTAGAAAAAAACACTGGCAAAAACCTAAAAGACATAGGTGTAGGAAAGGATTTTCTAAACCGGACATCAGTTGCTCAAGAAACAAGGTCAAGAATCAACAAATCGACCTCATTAAACTAAAAAACTTCTGTACATCAAAGGAGGCAACCAGGGAAATGTAGAGAAAACCCATCAAAGTAAAGCCTGAAACTCTGAAACTGTTAGAAAAAAACACTGGCAAAAACCTAAAAGACATAGGTGTAGGAAAGGATTTTCTAAACCGGACATCAGTTGCTCAAGAAACAAGGTCAAGAATCAACAAATCGACCTCATTAAACTAAAAAACTTCTGTACATCAAAGGAGGCAACCAGGGAAATGTAGAGAAAACCCATAGAATGGAAGAAAATCTTCACCAGCAACACATCTGACAGAGGTTTAACATCCAGAATATATAACGAACTCAAAAAACAAAGAATCAAGACAAGAAGCAACCCAATTAAAAAATGGGCTAAGGAGCTGAACAGAGAGTTCTCAAAAGAAGAAATAAAGATGGCTAAAAAGCATCTTAAAATGTATTAACATTATTAGTAATTAGGGAAATGCAAATTAAAACCACTTTTAAGATTTCCTCTTATGCCAGTCAGACTGTCTAAGATCAAGAGAACAAATGATACCAAATTTTGGAGAGGATGCGGGGAGAAGGGAACGCTCATCCACTGCTGGTGGGGCTGCAAACTGGTTCAGCCCCTATGGAAAGCAGTGTGGAGAACTCTTAAAAAACTACAAATGAACCTACCATTTGACCCAGTTATACCACTTGGCATATACCCAAAGAACTCATCCTATTGCAGAGACACTTGTACATCCATGTTTGTTGCTGCTCTTTTCACAATAGCTAAGAGATGGAAGCAACCTAGGTGTCCCTCAATTGATGAGTGGATAATGAAAATGTGGTTCATATATACGATGGAGTTTTACTCAGCAGTAAAGAAAGACGAAATCATGAAAATTGCAGGTAAATGGATGGAACTAGAAACTCTTATACTAAGTGAAGTAACA